ATCCCTTCCTTTCGGTATATACATAGAATGAAATCTCTCGTTTAGGAATATTTCACATTCATTATCAACAGCCCTACCTGGAAAATCCCGATGTCTCGACTGACTCACGTTATGTCACTTAAAATTTTAGAAGTTTCACACAATTTGAAAAAAATAAAAAAGAAATATTGCATTGACCTGTTCAATGTTCTTTCTCCATCCTAAGTCATACTTCCAAGGAACAGCTTTTTTCTTCTCATGAACCTGAAACAATGATGAATAGTAAATATTGCAACTTCAATCAAAATGCAGTCAATAAAAATGCATCTGGTAGAAGTCACACCTATTTAACATAAAATTATGCATGTTTTACACGATTGCAAAAATAAGCAAACAATATGCACCTAATTTATTGGACATCAAGTAAGAAAACTAGTGAAGATAATTACATAGGAAATTTTATATACGTATGGGCCACCATATACTAACTCGCCATTGGATTATAATAATACAGAAACATTGTAAAAAGAATTAGGGAAAAATTGCATTTTAGTCCTGCTGGTTTAACGCCATAGTCCCAAGATTTCAACTTTTTGTCTTTTGATCCTGTAATTTAGTATTTTGCTACAATTTCAGTCTTTTGGGACTGAAATTGCAACAAAATTTAAAATTACAGGACTTAAATTGCAAATCGAAAATCCATCCCGAAGAATTAAATTGCTAATAAAAAATCCATCCCAAATATTTTTTTATTAGCAATTTAAGTCCTGTAATTTATATTTTGTTGCGGTGTTGAATTTTAAAATTATATGACCAAATAGCAAAATGTTCAATTCTTAGGACTAAAAACACCACTGGATCAAACCAACAGGACTAAAATTGCAATTTTGCCAAAGAATTAGCCATTAGATGATTCTACAGGAATCTGAATATATTAATGATGCAGCAGCAAGTTATTGTTCACCTCCACAGAAGTAGTGTTGCTCAGCACCAGGGATACATGCATAACCACGAAACACAGAAGGCTCAGTGCAAAAGCTAGATTCAAAACTGCATCAGATTATGGAATCTGTAAGAAACATTAAAGGTATGAGAACCCTGTAATAGCAAAGAGATGCTATTGTGATCAGTGCAAAGGAAAATTACCAAAGGCCAAAAATGTGATCGCCAGCCTGCCAGCTGAGGTGGAATGATGGTTTGCTTGTTGAAAGAATTTTATGAAACCAGGGAGCAGCACAAGGGTGTCCAATACTGTCTCCACAAAAGTATAAAACTACAAACATATAAATTGTTATAGGTCAGTGTTTGTAAATTAGATGCAGGAAGGGAGGAACAATAAGACAAGGATATAAATCCGTTCACCACTAAATCTTCAAATGTACGTTTAGAAATGGCAAGCATCAGAACATATAAAAAGCTATTTCTCAGGTAATGAGCCAAAGTAACGGTCTTCATATTTTGGCTAAATAAAATTAGTTGCATGCAGATTTAAATTCTTATACGATAGATTTGCGAAGGTTCAAGCCCATACATTAATCATGGAAGATAAGTACAACACAGAGCCACAGATACAACTAAAATGCCCGAGAGTTACATTTCTTGATTAGAAATGTATAGTAATGATAGTATCCAAATATAGTGAGAGTTCAAATAACCATTTTCATGAGTTGGAAGACTTTGCAGAGAGCTTAGGACAGGTCAAGAATGGGTGAATAACATTCCTTTTCCGCTTCATGTTCAGAATCAGAAATAGACATTAGCCATGAGGAGAAGAAATAAGACTGTCTATTCAATATGACTCTGGAACGTGCTAGTGAGACAAATTAATAAACAGATCAAGACATTCGTCGTTAAAGTTTACCTGAATCCTCCCATGCTTACATATAAACTTACTAAGATAAGGTCTTCGCCAAAAAATTGGAGATATTATATATAATTCCAGACATAACATGGTTAGCTATTCACTCAAATTCATATCACAGAAGATCTCAGAACAATGGGTCAAAAATAATTTATTCTTACCACAAATAGGAGGAAAAATTTGTAGTTACGGACACCAACACAGTTTACTACCCATATGCAATGGTGATCCATCTTAAGAACACATCGTTGGCCTGCCAAAGAAAAGGTAATAATACTAATAATAATTATATTTATGATTAAATTAGTTGCATTTTATAATCAATGTGTCTTTAGAGCTAGATATGCGTCGATAAAGTTTGGATCTCCCAGAACATCGAAGTTTCATTGAATTTAAATAAGTAAATTATGAATTCATGACAATATATATCGCATCTCATAAGCCAAACTCTGAATTTAATATGATCAGAAGCACTATACCAAATTAAATGGCCAAACAGATCAGATTGTTTTAGCATGATTTCTTCTTTATTTTTACATCTTTTATTTTTGGTGCGGTGGGGAGGGATGGGGTGGGGCCCGTGTGGATGTCTAAGAGGCCGAAATGATGGAAGAAAAACGATGTGTTAAAAAATCCTCTGTTAACAAAGATAAAAAGGTGAAACTACATGTTCTGGCAAACTGATGCGAAACTGAATGAAAGATAATTCCCATAAACGAAAACAATTAGAAAACAATGAACAGTAAATCAGAAAAAAAAAAAAAACAATTCTTTAAAAGGAAGTGGAGCTTACATACAGAGCAATGATGACACCGAGGAGGCTTCCCGTTTTTACAGTGATTGCAATATCCAAGTGTGAGCCTTGTTTCTATTCCTGCTGAGGACAATGGCATGGCTGAATTATTCTCTGGAACTGAAGAGTTGGATAAAAAAATCTCTTTTTCAGCATCCTGTACTGGTGATATGTGTTTCCAGTTTTCAGGAACAGATCCAGGATCCATAAAGACAACCATAAAGTAGCTCCATGCCATTAATATAAGCTGCACATTTCAAAATTTCAAGGTGAATTACTGAAATACCTTGATATAAAGGCATTTCAAGAAAACCTAAACATTATGTTTGGTCATCATTGATTGGCAAATCGCCAATCAAAATCGAAGCTTTACATGGCTATAGAGCACTAATAGAATCGCAAATCCCACACCCTGGCATCCCAATTGTGCAGACTTGGATAATTCCTAGTCAAAATTCTCAATAATAAAAAGAACATTCTACACTGGACACACTAAGTAGTTGCTTCAAACCTTTAACTTTATGTAGACCTGCTTATATATAATTCTACCAACAAATAGACTCATGCTTTGACAACTAAATACATAGCGGGTAAAGACAATAATACCAATTCTAACTTATTATAGGGTCTTGTGCAGATGGAATTAGTTTGAAAAACACTTCTCCTGGAACAACTGTTGCTCCTATCTCCAAGTGCTATTACAAGAAGGAACTCTATGCCCATGTACTGCAATAAAATATTGTCGAACTACACACCTTAAAGTAAGCTTTTTAAGATGGATTCGTGAAAATTGAACTATCTAAACTCACATTAAACTTCCAATTCATCAACAAAAATTCAGATTCAGCACAAGTTCTAGCTCACTAAGTACAAGAGGATCCAATCGTCAAAACCAGAAACTATTCTCAACTAGAAAACGCTCAATACGCTACACAAACATAATACACATTGAAAAAGGGAAATTAGGAATGTAAAGCACACCAACACGGGACCAAATACCAAAACATGGAAGAGAGCCACAATAAGAAAATAGAAAAACGATCTGAAGCCGCCGTCGAGGAGGTGCGGGCCGCAGGTGAGAACGATGACGGCGTCGTACGAGACCGCAACTAAACCCACTACGACGAGGACCATCAAGTAGCCGAGGAACCTTAGACCAGAGCATAACCTGAAGGGATTCAGATCCATGGCGGCGAGGGGAAAACCTATCCCGATTGGGGAAAGAGTTAGACGGCGGGATTTTCTTTTGGCTTGATGCGGTGGGAAGAGGCGCTTTAGCATATGGGAAACGAGCTTTTTTGTTCAGTTGGCCGAAGCTTTTCACGTTGCGTGCCCAAAGTTCAGTCGACTCTAATGTTNAGTTTTGTTAGTTAAGCACTTTGATAGCCACTTTGTTCCTTAAAAGTGGCATGTTAGTTGTTAGTGTAATTTTGATTTTATATTAAAATAATATTTAAAATAAAATGATTAAAGTTGATTTAATGTAAAAGTATGAGAGAAATGATACGAAGTGATAGTTTGTTAAAACTATGTGAGTGAAAAAATAGTAAATTAAAGTTGTTTTGATGCGTAATAATGATTGGTTGATATTATTTAATTATATTAATAATATTGAAGATAGTGGGGCTGAGTTAAAGTTGATAATATTGAAAATAGTGGGACTGAAGTAAAGTTGAGTTAAATTTTGAGTATGAATTGAGTATGTATTAAGATATTTTATATACAAACACACCCTTATAAACAACTAAACAAACAAGCTAAAAACTAAACTGACAAACTAAGAAGGCAAACCAAACCAAAAGCACTATCCTGCAAATCTAGCAAACTCTAACCAATCTGTCAAGGCTAACTTGACCGTATATGCTTCCGAACGAAGAGAGTTTTGAAACACCCATAGGTTACGGGTCTTCCACGTCCACCAAAGGAGATAACAAAAAAGTTGAATTATGTCCTACAAGATGAGTTTATGATAAAGCACAGTTTGAGCCACCGGTTTTTGAAGCTGCATATGTCTGCAAGGAATCCTTCCCAAGATAAGGGAGCAAGCTTCCATATTATCTTGGCTCTACTGCAGTGGAATAATGGATGTTCTTCATATTCTGGTGCCTCTACACAAATTTTGCAGGTCTGATCTATCTGTAGGCCTTTTGAACTCAAATTGCAAATAATTTGAGGAATGTTGTTGTTAGCTTTCCATAAGAAATGTTTGATTTTTCCTTTTATTTTCAAACTCCAAGTTCTCATGCTTGCTTTCTTTACTTCATTCTGGTTTGCACTTGCTTCAGCTAGTCCAACTTTCTTCATTGCGTTTCAATCAACTTTCTCCGTTGCCTTTCAATCAAGTTTCTCTATTGTCTTTCAATCAAATCAGCTATGTCCCCTCTCTTCTATAAAAAATTCTGGAATATTTATAAAATTTGATATGTGTCTAGCTATTAAGAATTTATTTGATTCTAATCAAATTTTAAAAATCTGGAACCACACTGTTTTTACTCTTGTTCCTAAATGCCAAAATCCTTCATCTGTTAGCAATTTCATGCCAATAATCCTTTGTGGTGTCTCTTATAAAATAATCTGCAAGATTTTAGCTTTCAGACTCAAATATTGTTTTCATGATTGCCTTTTTGAAAGCCATACTGCCTTTATTCCTAATAGGTACCTGATGGATAATGTGATAATTGCAAATGAGGCTATACATTTTCTTAACAGACGTAGATCAAGGACATATTATTACATGGCCCTCAATCTTAACATGGCAAAGGCATTTGATAGAATTGAATGGGATAACATTAGAAAGATAAAGTTTAAAATGGCGTTTCATGCAAAATTTATCCACTGGATTATGGCTTGTGTCTCTTCCTCATCCTTCACTTTTAACATAAATGGAAATATCAGTTGGTATGTGACTCCGACCAGAGGTATTAGGGAAGGAGACCCAATCTCCCCCTATATCTTCATCATTGTTGTCGAGTTTCTTTCAGGTCTTATCCTCAAAGCATCTTCTGAAGGCTCTCTGCTGGGTATCAAGATTTCCAAATATGGTCCTACCTTGTCACATGTGATCTTTGCAAATGATACCCTGATCTTCTGCCATGCCAACACCATTCTTCAGATTCTTAGCACTTCTAACCTTTTCACTAGTCATAAGGTTAACATGGAGAAGTCTTCAATTTTCTTCAGCAAAATTACCCCCACCAGCTACCAGATGCATATCTACTATATTCCAAATAGAATCCAGGTCAAACACTCTTCTGTATACCTTGGTCTCCCTCTGAATATTGAAAATTCAAACAAGGATACCTTTACTTTTGTAACTGAGGTGGTAAGAAACAGGATTTTAAGCTGGAAAAAAAAAAAAATTCCTCTCATCAGTAGGAAGGGTAACCTTAATCAAATCTATTTTGTGTGCTTTGCCTGTTTTTGTGATGTCATGCTTTTCCCTTCTTGTTGGCATCTGTAAAGACCTATCTAAACTATAGTTGGGTTCTGGTGGAACAAAAGTGACTCAAATAAGAGAGGAATCCATTGAAAATGTTGGGAACACATCACTTTGCCTCTTTTAGAGGGGGGGGTGACATTCCAGACCTTAAATTGTTCAATGAAGTGCTTATATTGAAGCAGTTGTGGAGGCTTATCACAAAGCCAAATCTTCTAATGAATAGAATTTAAAATCTAGATACTTTCCTAACATCTCTCTGTTTGATGTAAAAACACCTCTCAAGTTTTTTGGCTCTAGAGAAGCTGGATGAAGGCAAAAGCTTCCTTTGCAGATGGGTTTTCAGTGGAAATTGGGGATGAAAAAACAACCATGGGAACATCGTTGGATACCTTTAATGTAGCGCCTCGTTCGCTTATTAGAATTTCTTCATTTGATTATATTAAATATTTGTCTATTATTTAAATTGCTATGCGGCTATTATATTATTATGTGTTATATTTATTATTTATATGTGTTAAAATTATTAGGATTTATTTGGTACAAATTTTAAATTTTTTCGGCGATTATCAGTTTAATCGCGTAAACCGTATAAAACCCGTTTTAATCTTGTTTTCGAACCATTTCGACCCGAACCTTGGATATTTATATTCGATCCAATGATCTCCATTTTGCGGTCCACTTAGCCCCTGAAAGACGACCCTATTGTGCTTTGTGAACTCATAGTGCCTTAAAATTTTCCTAACTCATTTTATTTTGAATTTCAATTTTTGCCTTAGAATTTATTGAGAATTATGGAACGTTGGACCAGTCACAATCCTCTTCTCACCTCAAACGTGTTTGACCCTTGGATGGAACAATTTAAGTTACTAATTAAGGTATTTTTTTTTTTTTTTTTCAAAACGATAGGAAAATCTCATTAGATGAAGGTAAATGTTCAAGTACAAAAGAAGCATGACGCTTATGCCGAAGGCTATGCCAGGGAGCACCACCACATGTGGTGGGCTAAATACAATAAACTACTAACAACACTAAAGGCAGTGTAAACAAACTGAGCCCTCCAGTGTTAAGGAGCAATAACAGATACTACACAACAACATAATAAGAGAAAAGAAAAACTAGCCACTGAACTAACTAAGTAGACCTAACTAGTCTTTCTTGCCTCCGATGAGCTCTTTTGTTGCCGAAGGTGACTGTCTCTTGCCATTCTGCCCATGCACCCGCTAAAATACCTCGCTCATGTCTCCAGACTCCTTCAAAGACCCAAAGATTACGCGACTTCCAGAGCCACCACAATATATATGTAGTGAGCTCTATTCTAGCTTCATTCACCTCAGTGTGTTTAACATTGCATATAGTGCCCCACCAGTCTTTGAAACTGCACCCTTGCTGTGTTGGAATCTCACTCCATGAGACCTTGGACCTCTGCCAAACCTTCTGAGCTCTAGGACAATTCAGTAGCACATGTTCTACTGTCTCAGCAGCTTCACCACAACATCTACACCTGACTTCAACATCAGCTCCTCTGCTTCTGAGATTTGTGTTGACTGGTAGAATGTCATTCAAACATCTCCACAAGAAATGTTTCAGTTTGCCTTTGACATGTAAATTCCAAGTTCTCAGTCTAACCGCTGCATTTCTTTTGGATGTGCTGCTGCCCTCAGGTAAGTCCAGAGAAAGAACTTTCCTTTGATGAAGATAGTTATAAGAGGAGGCTACTGAAAATCTACCTTTCACACCCATCTTCCAGCTCCACTTATCATCAAGAAGAGGGTCCAGAGTTTGGATTTTGAGAATTTCTCTACAATCCTCTTCCTCAATCAGCTCTCTCAGTCTGAGTTCATCCCATTGGCCATTATCTCTTTGAATTAGATCTTTGACCCACAGTTTCCCAGTAGCTGGAGGGTTCTTGAGATGGGGATACCTTCCTTTTATGCCAGGGATCCAGTTAAAATCTTGTAATCTTACAGTTGCACCATTTCTTATGTCAATCTGCAGCCCTTCCTTCAGAAGTTCCCTCACTTTCCACAAAGATCTCCATATCCAGGAAGAGTTTTGTTTCAAATCAGCAGCAAAGATTGAAGTTGAAGGGAAATACCTGCTTTTCAGTATTTTGCTCATCAGAAGCTGTGGTTGGGTAAGAGTCCTCCAAAGCTGTTTCACTAGCATTGCTTCATTAAAAAGTTTAACATCCTTGAAGCCTAATCCTCCCTGCTGCTTGGGTAGTGTCATTAGATCCCACCTTTTCCAATGAATTCCTCTGGAGTGATCAGCACCTTTACTCCACCAGAAAGTAGCAAAAAGAGAAGCAATTTCTTTGCATATGCTCAGTGGCAGTCTGAAGCAAGTCATGACAAACAGTGGTAAAGCTGTGAGAACTGCTTTTATAAGCACTTCTTTCCCAGCAGTGGAGAGATGTTTGTTTTTCCAGCTGATCAGTCTATTCTTCACAGCATCAGTAACAAAGCTGAAGACTTCCTTCTTGGACTGGCCAATTCCCAAAGGTAATCCCAAGTATCTGGAGGATGTTTGCACTTGGATACCCGGGAATGCAAGACACACTTCATTTTGAACAGCCATGCTAGTGTTTTTGCTGAAAAAAACTGATGACTTTGCCACATTCACCTTTTGGCCTGAGAATCTCTGGTATTTGTGAAGAATAGATTGAAGGACCCTACTTTGGTATCTGTCAGCCTTGCAAAATATTAATGAGTCATCTGCAAACAGAAGGTGTGTGAGCATAGGAGCCCCTCTGGCTACAGCAACTCCTCTGAACAACCCTCTCTCTTCCTCAGCTTTAATAACCGCAGATAGAACTTCAGAGACTATAATAAAGAGGTAGGGAGACAGAGGGTCTCCCTGCCTAATCCCCCTCTCAGCTTTTATATAACCACTTGTGCAGCCATTAATAATAAAGGAATAAGACACAGTAGTCACACACTCCATAACCCAATTCACAAACTGAACAACAAACCCCATCTTGATCATTGTTAGTCTAATACTGCTCCATTCTATTCTATCAAATGCCTTCATCATATCAAGTTTTAAGGCCATATAAGCATGCTTACCTGTTCTGTGTCTATTCAGAAAATGGAGACCTTCATTAGCTATTATAACATTGTCACTTAGAAGTCTCCCTGGGATGAAAGCAGATTGGGCTTCATTGATGCAACCATGAATACAGTTTCTCAGTCTATGTGCAAGAATTTTAGAGATCAGCTTATATACAACGGCACAAAGACTAATTGGCCTGAACTGACAGAGATTAACAGGGGCAGCACACTTAGGGACCAGAGCAATCAAAGTATGGTTCCAGTAAGGGAGTAATTTTCCTGAGTGGAAAAAGCTAGCAACAGCATTGCAGATGTCATCTTTTAACAAAGGCCAGAAGTGCTGGTAGAATAGAGCAGGCATGCCATCTGTGCCAGGAGACTTTCCAGGGTTCATTGAGAAGAGGGCCTGCTTAATTTCAGCTTCATCCACTGGGGCCACAAGATAATTGTTGTCTTCTACTGAGATAGTATGTGGGACATTTTGAAGAAGTGAGTTTCCTCCATGAGAACCTTCTGAGGTGAATAGAGTGCTGTAGAAATCTTCCACATGATCTTCAATGTCCTCCTTACTGTCACAAATTCTCTGTTGTTCAGTGATGAGCCTGCTTATAGCATTGTGCTTCCTTCTTTGCATTACCCAGGCATGGAAAAAATGAGTGTTTTGATCTCCTTCCTTCAGCCATTGTGTCCTAGCCTTCTGCTTCCAGAACAATTCTTCTGATAAGTTGGCCTGTTCCATTTCTCTTTGCAGCTTGTCCCATTCTTCCCAGTTCCTTTGGCCTCCTTCCTCCCTCATGGCTTCCAATTTCATAGACAGTGTTGCTAAGTGGGATTTTTGGGTCGATCTGAAATATTTACTCCATTGCAAGAGAGCTATCCTTGTTCTTCTAACCTTCTCTTTGAGGCTGTAGAGGGGAGTGCCCCCATTGTGTTCTGTCCAAGCTTTCTTTACAACATCATCTATTCCTTCTCTGGTTATCCACCTTCTGTCAAATTGAAACCTTCTTTGATATGGGGATTTATCAGGTTCATCTTCCAGGAGCAGCATGTAGTGGTCTGAGGAGCTTTTAAATAGGGAGGTGGTTTGAGTTTGAGGGTAGGATCTGAGCCAGGCAAGAGATACAAAACCTTTGTCTAAGGTTTCCTCCACAAACCCCTCTTCTGCTCTGTTGTTTCCCCAAGTGAAGTGATGACCCTTGTGGAAGACTTCAGCCATACCCATATTGGAAATGAAAGTTTGAAAACCCAGACAGCTAGCTTGAGATTTCACTCTGCCTCCCTTCTTGTCTTCTGGCTTGGAAAGATCATTCCAGTCCCCAATGATACACCAACTATCACCCCAGTTCTGCTTTTTCTGTTCTAATTCATTCCACTGAGTGGCTCTTGTGCTTCTATCAGTGCTCAGGTAGACAAAGGTAGCCCATCTGAAAGTGTCATCACTCTGGAGTCTGAATTCCACCTCAATACAATAAGAGCAAGCTACCATTTGTCTGATTTCCACATCTCTGTGCCAAGCTAGTAAAAGACCTCCACTTAGACCCCTTGGTTCCACCATTCTGCATCTGTCAGCAAAACCCAAATTCTTACACACTGTCATAGTATACTTATTAGTATTTTTAGTTTCAGATAAAAATATAAAGTGGGGGTGGTGGGTCCTTAAGGACTCCTTGAGCTGGGAAACTGTACAGGCCCCACCCAGGCCTCTACAGTTCCACACCACAGCTTTCATTGTTCACTCTGGGGCCATTTGAGGCTGGCCTTCTCCACCTGTTCAGAAGAGCTTTTCAATTTCTTTGGTTCTGATTCCTTTTCATGGAACTCCTCCTCCACTGTTTTCAGAATTGTTCCTCCCTGCCTACCTCTTTTGAGACTTTGCAACTGAGAATGTTCATCACCAACCTGCTGCTTTCTTTGTAGTCTACCCTCCTTGTTCCCAACTCTCTTCCATGTTTTCAATTTAGAAGCAGAGGTGTCAATTTGCTTGGAGCTGCTGTCATCTCTAGCCAGGATTAGAGCCTTTTGTGGAAGATGTGGATTGGTTGCTATTATCTCAGTTTTGGTGTAGTCCATGTCTACTTGGGCTGGGGTGTCCACAATTTGTTGTTCAGAGTGTTGTTCCACCTGCTTTGAGAGGCTTGGTTGGTGTGGAGATTCCTGCCTTGAAGAGCTGGACTCAACAATGCTGAGGTTCTTGAGAGGCTGTTGGGGCTCAACAAGTTTTTCTATGATAAGTCTGCACATATTAGTCCCAGAAGGTGTAATAGGGTCAGATTTTTGGTTGAGGTCAGTAGGAGTCTCAGGTCCTTGTTCAGTAGATCTGCTGCTTTGCCCAGAGACATTGCTATTTCTGATGTCAGTTGCTTTCATCCACGAGCCATATTGCCCTTCTTTAATCTCACCAGAAGTTATGTCCATTGCCATTTTCTGACAATCTCTATCCAAGTGTCCCAACATTCCACAGTAAAAGCACAAATTTATAAGCCTTTCATATTTGAAGATGACTGTGATGAGCTCATCACCTAGCCTGAGTGAGGTGCATCTAGGTAGAGCTTTGTTTATGTCCACTGAAACCAGTAATCTGATAATTCTGCCCCCAGCTCCCCCTGCAGTGGTGATTCCAACATTGTGAACAGCTTTAAAAACTTTACCTATCTTTAGGCCAACATCTCTGCTCAACCAGTCCATTGGCACATTATAGACTTGTGCCCATATTTTCACCTCTTGAAAGCAACTGTCTTTGTCACATATTCCTTTTCTCCATTTTTGTAGAGCTAAATACTGGTTTTCATATATCCAGTTCGTTCCCAACAATACTTTTTGCAAATCGTCCAAATGTTCAAAGATAAACTGGAAGAAGTTGGGGGAGATTTCACGAACCTCCATTCCTTGCTGGATTCGCCATATGTTAGCCAGCGCTCGTTTAAGCCCTATTAGAGAAGCTCGTCGGTTTCCAATAATTTTGCCCACCAAACTTCTGCTACATTCTTCTGCACTGATCTTGATGTCCATATTACCAATGTCAATAACAAGGCTCTCTTCACCGGAGAGTGAGAAGTTCTGTAATCGTTGTGTCATTTCATCTGTATTGCCCGGATTTCCTTCTGGTGTTCCCATAGAGCTGAGAGAAAACCTAGAGAGGACAAGCCACTGAGAGGATAGGTTTGTGAACGATTGGAGAGGGAAGGAGATCTTCAATGAAGAAATGAGAGCCCTCAGTTGACGGAATTAAGCCCTCAGTCGACGGAATCGCACTCTCACCTGAGAGAATATGCAGCAAGTTTATCTTACTAATTAAGGTATTAAGATCCCATTTATGCTTTGGTCATTACTTAAGTATATCACTAATCTTTTCAATCAAGTATACACGTTTCTCCTTAGCTAAACTAGTATTCGACTTGTGCATTTGCACAATGTAAATAGAATATTATAAGTTACATTTATACATATAGTATTAAAATTATAAATTATATAATGATATTATATTTTAAACATAGAGTATTATAAGTTATATTTATGCATATAATAATAAAAATATAAATTAGATAATGATATTATGTTTTAAAATGTGATCATTGGTTAAAATAAATAGTACATAACTATTTGATTGCATATGAACCACTATATTAATTACATGAAATATAATAAATAATGTAATTTTGAGAGATCGCCAATTTGTTAGCTTAAAAATATTAAATTTATTATAACATTTTATTATGCGATTTAAAGAAATTTTACTATAATATTAAAATAAATTAACTTATTTAAAAATACAATCTCTAAATAAGATAAAAAAAATATAATATTAATTTTAGAATAAATAACTTTAGCAAAAAGTATACAATAATTTTTTATGTTTATGTAACTTTCATATATCATTTAATGTAAACTATAGTTATTAATTTTAATAATAACTATTATATGATATAATAATATAGTATAATTATAACTCCGTTAATATAAAATGTAACTGTTTTTGTCTTAGTTAACCCTTAAAAAAGTGCAATGAAATATTTTAGCATTAATTAGATATGGTGGATTAATAATAATAATAATAATAATAATAATAATAATAATAATAATAATAATAATAATAATAATAATAATAGNTTAGAAAACATATCACCCTATCTTTCTCCCCTCTGAAACGCTCGAGAAACTTGAGATAAACACCAAAATTCGTTCACCATCCTCCATCGCCATCTCCTCGCGCATAGCCCATATCGCCGGCAAGCCACCTCTTCTCGCGAGCTTGTTGCAACCACTACGCGCCGTCAACGTCCGACCACCACCCTCGACTCCTGAGGACCTCTGGACTACTCCCTTTTCCGTGCGAGCCGCCGTTAGACGCCGAGCGAGCCAAGCGGACGATCTTCCCCGCCCATTAGAACTTGGTCGTCGTCGAGCCCTTCCGAAACCGAACTCGTCTTTTCTCCCCTTTGGTGTTTGGTAAATTCATTTTTACTAAACTTCAAATCCTTTGTGATAATATGTTATATTTACTGGAATTATATTTTAACATGTTTAAGTGAGATTATTTGGATTATGTGTTATTCAATCTATCATTTCATGTGGAAATGCACTTTTTCGCTGTTCTGTTGTGCTGCGATTTAAGTCATCTAAGACTGGTTATTTGAAATTATGACCTTCATGTGAAATATAGTATGTTCGGTTTTCTATATCTGGGCTTGGAATTTCTCGATTCCGAGTTATATCGAATAAGTTATGATTTTTAGAAGATTTTGTGCGTCCAGTTTTTCCTATTTACCCGGCAGCATAAGTATATTTAAATATGACCTGTTTATCGTATTGTAATGTACTCGTATGAATTTATGCTGTTCATGAAAGTTACAGATCTGTTTCACACCTTTCAAATGGGATAAATTTAATGTTGATATGTGCTCTGTAACTCGAATTGTGTTCTTATGAAGTTAGACATGCATGAGTTGGGACTTATCACTTTGGCAGAAATCTGACATTGAATGTTAACCGATTTTTCACTATCTAAATGATCTTATATGCTTCTGTGTTCTACATAAAAGTTGTAGAGGCATTCTTAAGTTTTAATTGGGTACTTGAACCATATCATTTGGAGATCTGTAGCTCAAGGTAAGTGTTAAAATCTGAGGTGCTGTCCATATCACATGTTAGTTTTTGACAGGTTTTCTGAATCACATGCTTTATGTTTAAACGCGTTGATAATGTGATTATTTGCCAATGTGATCTTCAGAAAAGTTGTAGACATTTGAGTTATATATCATGTGGTTTTTTAATTTCATTAAAAGCATGCCTGTAGCTCCAGTTAGCTAGCAATTACTGAGGTCTAGTCAATTCTTTTTTCCCAGTTTTGGACTGTGACTCAATTTTGAATGTTTACTGAGTTATCACCTATTAAATGGCCTTGTTTACTTTCAGTGTCTTCATGAGAATTGTAGATACATGTCTTAGGATTCCAATGCAACTAGATTCATGTCCATATGAGTTGTGTGCTGAAAGCTATATCAGTTTTAAAAAACGCTGTCCGGGTTAAGTTTTCAAAACTTATGCGATATTTTTGGAAATGTGTCTCCCTTGATTTAATGTATGCTTAAATGTTTACGTGAACTTAGTTGGACTAAGTAATTGTCGAATAGTCCTTGATAAGGCTATTTTAATAAATGTAGGTGCTTGACGAGTCGACCTCGCTGCCTACCCTTATTTTGTGTTTAACTCGATTTCTACCAGGTGGGTTCATTTATGTTGAATCTACATTTATCGCACTCGTTATCTCATATAAATGTTTGTCGCAATAGCTTTTGTATGCGTGAGAACCCTAGTCTAAGTGTCCCGACGGTAGTGCCTTTGACGAATGCATAATTAGTGGAAGTCACCTGCCCGTTGCATCCGGGAGGTGGACGCCCGAATCCGTGTAGAGCGGAGGGGATTGTCTGAACGCCCGAATCCGTGTAGAGCGGAGGGGTATTTCAACTTCACTGTCTCTTGGATAAGATCCTATGCCCATTGCATCCGGGGTGGGAGTGCTTCCAGTTACATCCTTGCCGATGTCTGGTCGGAAGGTTTGTTGTATGTACATAGGAGGTTTGCGATAGGGCCTAATAGGGAGTTAGATCTGGATTCTATGCATACATTATTTATAGTTATGGATCTTTATGCGAAACAGACAGTGCGGTAATGGTGAGTATAATGGTTGTACTCATCCCCATTTACTTTTCTGTCCTCTTGTTTCTCTTCCTACCTTTTTAGGTTGAGCACGGTTGACGGCGGCAGCGAGAGACGATCGAGTGGTGGTCGTTGGAATGATTTACCTTTGCTTCCGCTATTGTTATCTTGATGAACCATTTATTTAACTCAGAATAATTATGCTTCCGTTTTACTTATTTTGAACATGTTGGTTAAACCATTGAATTTCTGTCGAAGTATTTGATTATGCATGAATGGTTTGAGACTTATGAATATTTTGGATTTTATCTCGAACTGTTAGTTTTATACATGCGTAGATCTTTCTTAGCTATTTAAATTGTTTAACTGTTTTTGGTAGTTAAGTAGCGCCCATTGAATATTAATGTTTTAAATTGAGATTTGTGAAAAAATAAACTCTGATTTTTATAAATAAATTCGGTAAATTCTTTAAAATAAAACGGGGCGTTACAGTATGGGTATCAGAGCTATTCTGCGTTTCTGTAGACTATCTCTTGTGTTAGTTTATTTAACGACCATTTGACCACTCGCTTTCGTCTCGCCGCGCCAACTCGAGGTATGAGTCTTATTCTTTTATGTGATCTTACATGGGGCTTAGGAATTTATCCACCTTTGATTTAAAGTTTGAACTCTAGTGTTTCGTGGAGAACTCTAGACTTCCTATATTATTTAATTTTATTTGATGCTAAACTCTTTTCCACATGTTCAATGTAAACTATGGCCAATCGTAACAATCGCAATGCCCGCAATGCTCGCAATCGTCAACCAACCCCGACTCCATCCCTGACTCCATCTCCACCTCGTCAGCAGCCCTCCTGCCATGGACTTTTCGAGGCTCATCGTCCAGTTCCAGAACATGCACGCACCCACCTTCTCGGGGAATGAGACCCCCACGGCTGTGCTGGAATGGATGAAAGAATTGGATAAGATTTTCGCTGTGCTCCCTCTTCCGGATCGACAACGTGTTTCCCTCGTCACCTTTCAGATGAAGGCGGATGCTTCTGATTGGTGGATCGACCACTGGGCCCGGAGGCTAGAAGCCCGAG